CTTCTCATCTTTATTATAATTTCCTTTCACTTTTATCTTATCTCTGTGTTAACTCATATTACATAGGAAATATATAGATCAATTTTTATAATCTTCCATGGTTCATATAATCATCCTTAACTCTTGATGTTTAAAATAAAGCAATTGTTATACATTCTTGTCTTGACAAGTAAGATATATTTCACGCTTTTAAAATACATTTCCTGAAGACACATCTGACCGATCACACAGAGAAAACCGAGACATTTGTTGTAGACAAAGGCAATTCGTCATTTATTCTAACCCAACCATCTCGCAATTGGCAGATTATAGCATTTACTCACAAGATCTCTGTCCACGGTGGTAAGCCGCTGGGCGCCTCGATCAGCTGGAGATTACTGCAGGCGACCAGGTTGCCGAGACAGGAGCATTCAACCGGGCAGCGGTCCGTCTTGTCGCTTGCCTCGGCGTTGACGGTCGGCGACGCGCTCAACGCGAGCACGTACACGAGCGGGAGGAACGCGGCACTCCATTTCCACGCGAATAATCGTGCGAGACGACGACGCCTCTCCGAGCACCGCGACATCGCGCACGTATACGTACGATCACGTACACGCACACAAACGCACCGCGAACCACCGTGTATCAGAGAGTTTACTGTTCGGCTTAGATGATCGCGCGGCGACGCTCATCGCTACCGTGCCGCATCATTGCCACGGCGTCGTAGAACGAATACTGACGCCCCGACCGGGGACAAACCACCATAACACCACCGAAGAACAGTGAAATTCCCCCGCGTTGTTTTCGATTCACAACAAACTCGCATCGGTTTCACTCTCGAAAATGATGCAGCTACGCACCATCATGACGCCTACAGACAAGACTGCACTGCACGCGCTAACGCGGCGCCATCTGAAGAGTTGCCCAACGCGATTCAATCTTTATCGGCTGCGTATTCAGTAAAAAAAAAAAAAGATGCTTTCCATTTAGTGACACAAGTCGACACAAGTATCATTTGGATATTAAATGGAAAGCACCCAAAGCAACTTTGCAATTGTGTAAGATTCTTCAATATGATTGGTTTATACATTTAGATAGATAAGAACAAAACCAATCATATCAAAAAGATTTTCACACTGTGCAAATTGGGGGACACCCGTTTGACCACGTCCCGATTGATCACTAGCCACTCACAGCGCTTGAACAGTGAAAAAATTCTAAGCTCCGACCCTTATAAATGGCTAGTGGTCAATCAGGATGTGGTCAAACAGGTGTCACCCTTGCAAATTCAGTGAATGCGTTCAGAATGCCAGTAATGTAGCAAAGCGCTGTAATGTACAGACGTGATGTCATAAACATATAAATATTATGGTACGTAGTGTTATACATAAATATTTTGATAAAAATAGATTTTTACAAAAAAATTTTGTGTGCATAAATGGTACCTAAAATGAACTTTGAAGTCTTGATCATAAACATTTATACTATACATTGGACCGCTAACTCCCCTACCCTAACAGCACGCGTACGTTCTGAGTATGTTCTGAGAAGATCGCAATGTGTATATTGCGATCATCTCAGAATATTCTCATACGTACTGCTATCGACTAAGTACGTTCTAAGTACGTTCCTATGTTCCGAGGTAACACCTTCTATGGACTTTCGCCGCGAATATTCGCAGTGAATGATGACAGTATTAGGAAAGGATGAAAACGGGAAGTTTTCAGTAGATTATGGTTGCGTTCCGATATGATTGATTGCTAGCACTGAAAATCTATAATATATATATGTGACACCCCTTATGGAAAATAAGTGAAAAAAATGAAAAAATTAAAAAAAATAAGAGAAAGTGATAAAACATTTTTTATCTTGTATACAAGATATATTTATTACACTTATTACGTACATGCCCGCGCATATGTCAAAAAGGATGTGCAAACCAATAGATTACTATTTGAACAGTGCTACTAATCTATAGAAACTAAAATTATTTCGTTTAGAGGATTTCGTTGATACCAATATTATCCCCTCCATTTTTCGGGAAATTGTCGCCTAATCTTACTGGGCACCTATTATGGAAATGTTCGGAATCGATTCCGCTCGGAATTATTTCGTTTTTCCCCAGATATTCTTAGATAAGTTATTATGGATAGTCGGATCGTTTCCGAATCGATCGGGAAGTTTTCATCATCTCTCGAGCTGTTGAAATGTCGATTCCGATCAGAATGAAATAGCGAGATCCAATCAATGATTAGATGCATAAAGTCTATATCAGAAAAATTACTAACTAAAGATTAAAATTGAGAATAAAAATAATAGACTAAAAATATTTTTAACATTATATTACGTATATTTTAATATTATATTAAATTATATTTTAATATTATATTAAATATTTTTAATATTATATATGTACACGTATAAAACGATTTGTTTCAAGTAACAATTAACTTTTTATATGTAATCGATAATGGTAAGTATTAAAAATATTATATTACGTATATTTTTAATATTATATATTATATTTTAATATTATATTATTCTTAATATTATATATGTACATGTATAAAATGATTTGTTTCAGGTAACAATTAACTTTTTATAAGTAATCGTTTAAAAAAACGATTAAAAATAATGTTTATAAAATAACGTCTATAAAATAACGCCTATAAAACGTCTATAACGTTATATTACGTTATGTACTGATTGTATTAGCCTGTGTATAAAAGTAAACTTACAATTTGTTAAATCAACGCATAAAAAAACCGTAACGTAACGTATACATATTACGTTAAGATTTTCTTTGTGCGTTGATCTAACTTTTATATACAAATTAATACTTACAATCAGTACATAGCGTAACGTAACATGTTATGAACACGTTCCTCTTGCAAAGTCTCTTAGTTCTTAAACAGAAAAATAAGATACATGCCAGCAAACGGATATTTTAAGTCTAGTTACTTTTCTTTCACTCTAATTGGTACACGTAACAATTCGCCCGTTCCTCTCGTTCCGCTTCATTCCGCATCTAGAGAAATGAATGGAAAGATGATTCCACTCGGCATTCATAATAGCAAAAGCGTATGAATGAAATCGCGATTGGAAACGCCAGTCGGAATCTCACAATTCCGATTGGAATCGTTAAAATTCTATAATAGGTACCCTGACCAATAAGCGTATTCTCAACATGTTCAGTGAGCGGACGCCATTTTTCTGAGCGATTTTCAAGTACGCTCAGTGAGTACAATGTGTTGTAAGCTTAGCGGAACTTACACTTTATTATGAAAATGGAGAATTTTTATCACTTTGTATCATGTAAGGCTTACTTCTACAATTATTCTCGACATGCTAAAATGTTCTTTAAATACAATATTATTATATAATGGAACTATTCTTTCATAATAATTTTTATTTTTTCAACGTTTACGACGTCTTTCATTAAAATTATTTGGTAATTCATCTTGTAATTCTTCGACAAAATGTCTTATTATATTTCTCTCTATAATATTATCATCTAGCAAAGCCAGAAGTATGAAATTATTAGCAGCCATTATTAAATTATAAAAGAGAACTGTGATTTCTGTGAATATAAATAGTACGACACAATAATGCGATATATATTATTTTTAAATAAATATGTACATACATATTGCATGTCAGTGTTTAAATCGTTCAAGAAACTGTTCACTGATCACTTTGTGCTGAAAGAGTGCTCAGTGATTAGTTGTCCAACTGTGTGTTCTCTGAACGCAGCCATTAATACACGAGAGTTTGACGACCCTGAGCTGTATGTTCATTGGATATCGCACATCGCGTGTTGCGTCATCGCGTTGGTCTGAATCCAGCATTATTTTGAATCACCCTGTGTATGACAGAAACAGAAAACGAATCTTATATTTCCTATCATCGATGCTCAATGAGCAACGTTGAAAATAGCCTACTTTAGTCGGACTCTTTTGCTGCTTCATTTTATTGTGCAATTTGATCCATGTAAAGTGCGATCAAGGAACCGGTACCGGTTCCATTTCCATACATTAACATATTGAAGAATCAACGTCAATAAGAGAATTAAACGAATTAAGAGGTAAGAAGTGCAATTTATTTTTGTGTTAATCTCCGAATAAATATATGTACGATATTTGTCTCATTATTTCACATCTTGCTATATCTAGTTTCGAAATAACCGGAATTATCAGAAGAGAGACGTACGTCAACATGGAGAACAAACTTCTGCAAATGTTGCAAGATGTTGGGTAAGTAATGAAAGATTATATTATTTAATCTGGATTTATTTGACAAAGAATTTGGAGTTTAGATATTTGGAATAATATACTTTTTACTACAATCATAGATTTATATCTTTTACATTATTTGAATAATGTATATCATTTAAATTATTTGAATATCACTTTTAATGATCTTGCAGATATACAGGTCCGATGCTCGATGCCAACAAGCTATCAGATGCCTTAAAGCTTGGCGCAAAATCGCCAGATTTTACTAGTCTTATAAGCTGGTTTACTGAACAACTAGCGACATTTATAGATATGGATGAGACTGTTCATGCTACAACAAGTGCAGATGATGCTAGTTCCTTTCTCTTAGAGTTAAGCTTTTTCCTTAAGGAAATAGGATGTATGAATGAGAAATTAATGACTGGGCATATGAATCAAAGACTAGCTAATGAATCTGAAAGAAGCATTCTGATAGAATTTTTAATAACTGAACTTATGGCTTGTAAATTATTAGAGGCAAAATATCCTGAAGAAGAGAAACAAATGGAAGTTACTATTGTAAGGATATTTTTAAATATAAGTTTAATTATATTATTTATATATTATTGCTTAAAGTAATTCTGTTAATCAAAATGACATTACTATATATGTATATATTGTTATTTCATATTTACAGGATGAAAGTGATACTGCAAGAAAATTAAAAAATATACTGGTCATATTAAAGTTTCAAAAACCACCAGACAATATTTCTCCTGAATTACTGTTTTCAAGACTAGAAACTAAATTATCAGAAGTTCTAAAGACTGTACCATCTTATCATTTAGGTAAACCACTTATAGATGTTGAACTCTCTGCTAAACAATGGGAACAATTGAATAAATTGCAGGAAAAAATGTATAAGGAATATATGATTCGTCGTGACATGTTGCTCAAACGTCTTGATGTCACAGTTCAATCATTTTTGGTAAGAATGAATCTCTTAAACAATTTTAAATATTTGTTCACACATTTGATGATAATTATATTTTATTAAAATATATTTTTGTTAAAAATATATACTGTTGTATTTACAGTGGTCTGACAGGATAAAATCACAGGAGACTGAAGTAAATACTAAGTATGAGGAGAGAAGAAAGACTCTGAAAAATGAGCCAAAGGTAACATTGGCCGATTTATTAGCAGCAAGGGATGATTTAGCAGTGATCGAGAAAACTAGTAACGCGAGTGTTCGCAAAAATACAAGAAGCAAAATTAATAGCGTCATTATTGGAGCAGTACCGGATAGAGGTGGTAGACCATATGAACAAGAACCGCCGCCACCAGAAATGCCTCCATGGCAGAAAGATAGAGTTCAAGGACCACCGTCATTTCAGTAAGTTAAAATAATATTTTATAAAGTATTAATGATGGGATTGTAAAGATAAAACAATAAACTATTAAAATGACTATGCTGTATATAATATTATATCATAAATATATTATTATATTATAAATATATAATTTTTTTTCTCAGGGGTGGAAGAGGAGGAGGAGGAGGTGGCGGACGTGGAGGCAGCAGGGGTGGAGGTGGAGGTGGAGGCAGAGGTGGAGGCGGAGGGGGCTATCGCGATCATAAAGACTCTAGCAATAATTTTGGTCAGAATTTAGATTATCAACAATCTCAATATTCTGGACATGGGCATAGAGAATGTTATCCCGATCACAGAGATGTGGGAGGATATCAGAGAAGTGGCGGTGGCGGAGATAGAGGAAGTGGAAGCTATCGCGGAGATTCTGGCACGAATTACGGTCAAAATTATAGCCAGAATTATGATTATCAACAGTCATATTCTGGTCAAAGAGACTCGTACGAAAATGATAATCGAAGCGGAAACTATTATCAAGATAGAAGGGAAAGTAGTAGAGGAAGAGGTGGTAGAGTTCAAGGTGGATGGAATCAGGGTGCGAATAATCCCAGTATGAATAATTATCAACGCGGTGGTTATAACAGAAGCAGAGGCAGAGGGCAATATTGAAAATATTATTTTTAATGATAATAAAAAATTCACAAATTGAAAAGAGAAAGTTATGATATTAATATAATTTTATAGTGATGTTTATAATCACTATGGCTTATACGCTTACATTATACTCACACATAACTTTGGTCTCAAAATAAATCTGAATTTAAAATATGTATAATAATTATATAAATTATGTCGTTTTTAGATCACAATTAATAATTATTATTCGAAAAACTGTAATATTATTAATATAAAATTTAGAGTAATGACTCCTTTAATGACAGCTTTTAATCATCATTCGATTTAAGCATATATATTATATAACTTATGTTTTCTGTATAATTCGAATATAATAGATATAATAAAAGTATAAATATACATTTGTCTGTCTTTTGAACATGGATAGTTGAAATTAATTTGTAATGCAAAGTATGAAGACTGTAAATCAAGCCACTTAAATTTAAAAATCTTTTATTAAATTGTGCATGTATCAAAATATATCAAAAGAGCAATATTGTATTGTTCCATATCTCAGTTCCTTACATATAAAAAATATTTCTGCACATTTATAAGAAAATAATTTAATATCTTATTTTTTCAAATAAAAATAGACTAAAAGTTATTCCATATTAACATATTTCATAATTTTAAAAAAACATTTAAAAGAGAATCTGATTTTAAAATCTGATAAATTTTAAAACAAAATTTTCAAATTTAATAACTTGTCTATATTTAATATCCCGTTTTCTGATTTTAATAACTTTTTAGTTCTGTTCTTTTTCTTAAAGGTACAATTTTATGCAGCAAAGCTAGCTTTTACTCCCACTCACCTTACTGAAAAGTAGTGTTCAAAAGCTATCGTTTATCGTCTCCTTTCTTTTCATGAAGCGAAAAAAAGCATTTTATCCCCTCTACCTCAATGCAAAAGAGCGTAAAGACTTTGGCTATGCTCTGATATCCAAATAAATTATAATAGTCAATAGGTCTATTCTCTTACTTCTTAACAATAGTTTCATTAGCTAGGGATGTCGTTACGCAGATTTAACGACACATATACGACAGATATAACGAAAAATGATATTCTGTAATTTAACGTAACGCTAAATGTCGTTAAAAGTATCGATAAAGTACCGAAATCTTATCGTTAAGATATTGAGGGATATCGGATAAGTCATAACGACAACATAACTAGACATATCAATCAATAGCAAGTTCCGAAACGGCTCCGAATAGTAGTATGGAAATGTGCAAGTATAGTATAATTTTATAATTTAAATATATGAACATCATAAATTTATTTTAAACATATTAAATATATTTTAATAGCACGCGTACATTCTGAATATGTTCTGAGAAGATCGCAATGCATATAAATGGTGCAAGAAGTTAAAAAAAAACAAGCTTTTTTTAAAAATGTCTGTCTCTTAATGATGGCGCTTGGCGTCAAGTCACAATACGGCATGTTATTGGTTAGTTCGTATAAATAGAGGTTTATCAGACATAAAAATTCATTAAAATTAATTTCGAAATTACACACAAATATTACTTTGTGCTATATCAAATTAACATGGTTACACGATTATACATTAATGATAAAGATTTAGTTGATCGAGAAGAATCTGTATTGCACTTAATGCCATGTAAAATTTACGGAGACGAAGCTGCGAATGTTTCTTCTTTTTTCAAGCCTTATATTCGTAAAATCGATGAAAAACGTGAGTGACTGCGAACAGAGGAAACTCGTTCATATTGCATATAGTTTATATAGATAACATTAAAAATACAATTTTAAAAAATTAATTTATAAGAATTAAATCGGATTTTTTTAGTTTGTTAAGTAAATGATTCAAATGAATCAAATATAAAATCATTAAAGGGAAAATTTAATATTTATATCAATATATTATTTGATTGTTTAAAGATTATGATTGTTCCTTCCGTGGCTATCCACTCCAAGGAAAAAAAATAACTGTACCTGCTGAATATAAAGGCATGATGTTTATGCAGAATAAAAAAGCAGATATTGAAAAAATAAAGAGAGAAATTTGTATTGCACTGGAATCTTTTCACAATTTACATATTGGAATTATGATAGAATACCATCCAAGAATGATGCTCTTGCAGCTGCATTTGATTGGATTGATATAGCTAAAGTGGTAACTCTTATTTAATCTTTTCATAAATTATGTAATGCATCAGTTATCATTAATAATAACTATTCTAATAAATCTTTAATAACTTTTAGTTACATTCACCAGAAACATAAGTATGATATCAGAAGATAACACTTATTTTAAAAGGAAGATATAAGAAATATATGTTCTTATCAGATAATATATTTTCATATCATTCATGATAATATATTATCATATCATATTCATATCATCATATTTTGATAGAAAAAAGAGAAAGATAATAAAAATATATTTTGTATAACAGATTTATTTTTACAGCATCATAATTGAATGTTTATATTACAAATAATGCATGTAATCTAAGATAATTGAGAACCTATAGCTAAGTGTAAAGAGAAATAGTGGTGGAATTGATAATTAGCCTAATTAGCAGACATTAAAGAAACAGTTTTCTATTTAGACATCTGTGTGGACTTATTCTTTTTTTTAATATAATAGTATGATTATGAATACATTTTTGCAGATTCTTAGAGGCATAAATCTGTTTTATGTTTTAAGGTTACATGTTTTATATGAGTTTATATTTAGTTTTATATTAAATATGCATTTATATAGTGCTGTCGATAGCTTATGACCTATAATAAATTAAGAAAGGATGCATTTGGACATCCATACATGCTATCTTAATTATACAATTGTCAGATTTACAAAATATATTTTCCAGTACGTGGTATGCATTGAATTATTTAGGCCAAAGAATGTGATCGATTTGCGATAGCGTGTATTGAATGTGTGTGCACGACGCCTACAGAATTGTCTTCTAAATACACTAAAATGAAAAACATACATAGAATTAATGATAGTATGTGTCTTAAATAAAGTACATTCGTTTACATTATTGTTTATATTATGTCTTAATAGTCTTTTAATTACTTTATAGATAAATGAATAAGTTATTAATCTCAATCTGAATTATCTTTGGCATTGTAACAATACTGAGGTATATGATATTTCTAGAATTGAGACAGAACTCTGAATGATATATATATGAAATTACAAAAATTCTCATGTTCTCATGTTCGTTCATTTCCTACATTCTAAATTATTAAAGCCGCAATAACGAAATATAACAAAATATTTCTGTTCGTGATTCTCTCCGATGTTCTCATTATATGTATATATATATATATATATATATATATATATATAAAATTATATATAAAATCATATTATTCCCGAAGATTCTAAATTAAATTTTCTTCAAGTTTAATGTTCCATGGGTGACTCTACGATTTTATAGATATCCATGAAATTATATGGAATTATAATGAGAATGCTTAAATCATTTACGACTTTCCTTACTACTTTGCATCATACTTGCGCAACATCATTTTTCTTCTTTCTTTTTTTGTACCCTGATCTTAGATGTGTTTTCATATATGAGATTAGATTTTCTAGAATGTAAGATATGTCCCGTTTGAATGAAGTTCTCGAAAAACTAATCACAAAAACTAATGTATATGGCAGTGATGATGACTGTAATATATTGAAGTCTCAAAAAACATCAATTTGTATAAAGTGCACAAGACACTGCAATGGGCAGTATATAAATAAGATACGCTTTGGTATTGTCTGCGTATTTCCTTGTAATTTATAAAGTTTTCCAATTCAGTAAAATATCAAAAAACTATTATATAAATGCCACTCGTATATAATGTAAAGAAGACAAAATTGACAGTCTTATGTTTTACAAGTAGAATCTACAAAATCTCAAGCAAATAATTCACTTGGACCGATATTTATCGGACCGTAGTTGTATGGTAAAACTATTTCTAATAAATTTTGTACATCCGTAAAAAATGTCAAATCAAATTTTATCCTATTTATACATGTTGAAACGTGCCTAACTCATTAGCTTGCTCTTGATGAAACTTGTTCTGATCCTGTTGTTGCTTAATAAAGGCGCTCAATCTGTTCAATAAAAATTGTTTATCATGACCTTCCAGTACCAATTGGTTTTTTAATACTGTCACCATGTGCTTGTTCGCTAACCACATTACATAATAATAGTAGAGAAGCAGAGAGAGGATGACAAATGCCGGTATGCCAAAAGCAGCCGTACCAAGAAAGGACAGAGCCGATTGCAACCAATTGGGAAATTGTGAGAATGTCGTAATCAATAATGTCCATACGGATTCCAATCCTCGAAACGGTCCACATGATTTCGACGGCATGATCTCCGCGATGGAATAACCAAGCGGTATCATTGCCAGGATAAAGGAAATCAATAAAACAAACATGAATAGGCAATTCGACCTACTCGCACGATAAATCTTACTTGATGGTGTACTATTCACTAGACAAGTGAATTTTTTAATGTAAAACAGCAAGAACGTTCCAATGACGGCGACCATGGGTAATAATGGGGCAAAGAAGCAACCAAGCCAGCAAACCATTTGTGAATAGAAAATATCTAGCACATGTTTGGGTAAGTCGAACTCTTGCTCGCCGACGAAGCGTAAAAGTTTGTTCTCGGTGTGACGTGCGATTACTGATCGCGGAAAGTTGACGAAGAACGTCATAAAGAATTGGATGAAAATATCGGTGGTATAAAGCTTGAAGAATTGTTGTCCTACGAATGTTTCCCAACATAGCGGTTGTTTATTTTTTTGTTGGTGCACTCATTGTCCGGGATCTTATCTGCTACGAGTCTATATAGAGATGTTAACAGAACAAGGAGGGAAGCGAGTCTGAGAAACATAGTTCTATATAACGTCACTCGGACGACATACGATGGATTGTAATGTTCTAGGGCGACCAGATAGCGAAAGAGAAATGGAACGGCTATGTTAAGTTCGACGATACATAGGTATGGAAGAAATTCGAAGAATAGATAAGTGATTTCGTAACTTTTTGCCGAGTGTGTCGACAGCTGACTGAATGAAAAATCGATTATATAATAAACAAATACACCGTAGCCACACAATACCGTGAAAACTAATAGATTAACGAACAGACGTATGAAAAGCAGCTTTGTCTTCTCTTCTCTTGTGCGATTTCGTCGTTCCTCCTCCATTTTTTCTGACTCGAGAAATGCTTTCATTTCGTTATATAGCGCTTTGTGTTTTATGCCGGCGGATCTCTCATTGTTAATGCAGTAATCCCATCCGCCAAATACTAGATTGCAATATCGATAAAACTGGCCCTCACCTTCTATGACTCTTTCTCTGAAACCTTTTGCAGCTGATCGTACGATCGCTATCAAACTAACGATGAAGACGCTAATAATGGCGCAGATGTAGGCCAGCGGTGAATTATAGTAAAAATTGGTACCTATACTCTCGTAAATTTTGTGCGTATATGAACCGTAGAATAGTAGAGTGTGCTCTAATATCCCACCGTTTTGCATGATCTTTACTAGACTGTTATTTTCCTCAGTCATATTCCGATACAATTCGGAACAACAGGCTACGCTGGCGGCATCATTAGGTGAACATGTTTCGTTCTGGGGCACCTCCAGCACTATCGTCGGTAGTACTATCAGCAAGAATATAATTGCGAATAAGATCAGATTCAGATACATCAACCACTTAATGAATAAAAAATATGCCACTATGCCCATTCCGAAATTTCCACCTATTTTTTTGAGACTGTCGTTCCATAATTCCATTTTGGAATAAGCTTCTTTCATTCTAATGCGGAATTGCTGCCAAGCTTTCCTGCGCTGCCATTTTAGCTGCTCAAAGCCTTGAAGCCGTAGCTTCGTGGCACTCTGAAATACACGAGTTTACTATTACTGCCAAGTCACATTTAATGTATTATTAAAATACGAGCTTTTTAAAGTACTTGTAACTGGTTCTTCAATTGGATCTTCTGAGACATGCATACGGGCATGGCCTTGATTTGCATTATTTCTTCCCATGTGCGCTCCTCATTGGATAAATTTTCCGACAGATCCGGCAACATCGATACAGCCGCGTCATGTATGTTGGTCGACATACGTCTTGAAGTCGTGGTACCACGAGATCTAGTACTTGTACGCCTTCTCAATGTAGTTTTCGTGTCATTTCGGATCCGTTTCACTGTGGCTACATCAAATGCAAATGTAAGATATAAAGAAATTTATTTGCAATTTGTTTCTCAAAATGAAACTTACCAACGCGGGATTTTTTGCTAGGAAGTAAAGTTGCTATATGCGAGGGATCCCTCTGCAATGCCTGTTGCAGATCCGCTTCTATAGCCGCTGGATAACTTTCTTGATAGAATTCAGCGCCAGCCTCCTCCCATCCATGTCCTCTATCGCAACCCCTTTTTTTCCTTTCTCCACCCGACATTTTTAGGATATAATCCTTATCTGATCTTTAAGTAAGTCAATTGCATACAATAAACACAATTTAATTTTTGACAAACAATTTATACGATTTAATGCATGATTACAGCAATTAGTCTGTTTATCTCTCCTATCCAAGAAACTTTGTCAAATTACATCTTACATGTTGCTCGAAGACAATCATAGATGATATTGCTCATTTGACAACAATGCAGTAACTGTGGAAAAAAATAATAATGATGCAATTATTCCCGAAAGATGTATTAATAATAAAATAAAATAATATCAGTATACATATATACATACAGTGAGAAGCAAAATTGAACCAAGTATTTTTGCAAGTATCTTTGTAAATAATAAATTATTTATGCTTTGTAATAGAGAATGAAAAGAACGTATTGCATATATTAATTTATAATTGTTTTACTGCAATTAGCAGATAACAATTTTGTTCTATTTTTTTTATTTTGCCAGTTATTCATTTATATTTCTGGCTCAATTTTGTACTAAATGTTCGTGTATTTTTTACATTCAATTCTGCATGAAGGCCAAGATGGTTTACATTCAACACATATAGGTCACATAGAAACGTATTAGTAGCAGTTTTCAATCAGTCATTGAAGGTAACATATCTAAATTGAGTATTTCGCCGTAATGAAACGTATAACGAGAAACGTTCGAGATGCAATAATTTTTTTGCTAAAGAAAGGAATGTTAATCCGCGAAGTATGTAAAAAGTATTCAGTATCTCAATCTAGTGTACAAAGAATCAGAAAAAAATATTGTGACGATATTCCTAGACCTTCTGCATGACGTCCAAAGATACAGTACAAGATAAGAGAAGTCTCGTCCGATTGGTATTTTCAGGAGTAACAAAATCAGCCGTAATAACGGGGAAATCATTACAAAATGAGAAAGGAGTACGTTGCAGTTGCTAGGCCGTATGACGAGCTCTGAAAGAAATGAATTTTAAAGCAATCGAGAAAAAAGATAAATCAATGAGAAATATTAAAGCTCGTTTGTAAATAATAATAAATTTTTGCGAAAAAATATATGTATTGGTCAGTGACTAGAAACGAGATCGTATGGTCAAATGAGTTAAAAATTAATAGATTTTTGTCTAATGGACGACAATGGGCCTGGATACGGAAGGATGACTCTTGCAAAAATGAAACATGAATGAAATTAAAACTTGGAAGTGGATCTATTATGCTCTGGAGACATTTTACAGTGTATGATGTTGGATTATTGACTCGCATTAAGGGCAGAATGAATCAATGTATGTAAAAGAAATTTTTAGATGTAGAATTATGCAAAATAGAAAATATGTCAATTTGAAAATATGCCAATTTGAAAATATGCCAATTGATGAAAGAAATATCGTGTTTCAGCATGATAGAGATCCGAAGCACATGGCAAAAAGCGTGTAAAAATGGTTGAAACTGCAATTATTTCAGGTTCTGGACTAGCCAGTTAAAATTCAGACCTGAATCCTATACATGAGAAAATTTCAAAAAACAATTGCGAGATGAATATGATTCCCCTCCAAGAAATCTCGACGAATTATGGGAAAAAATTGAAGAGCAGTGGTATGCAATTCCTTTAGAAATTTGTATAAATTTAATGGAGAGTATGTCCAGACGAATTGCAGCCATTTTAAATGCCAAAGGCTTATGTATGTATATTACAAAAAATATTAAACATTAATAAAACTCTTATTTTCTGTTATTTTTGGAGTGGTGCATAATTGATTCATAACAAAAATTATGTAATTGCTAAATTAAAGAGAACGTCATGAAATTGTTACACATTTGTTATAGTAAAATAAGTGTTAATTAATATATGTAACAAGTTCCTTTTGTTCCTTATTATAATATGTAAATAAATTATTATTTTCTACAAAAACACGTACATTAGTTCAATTTTGCTCCTCACTGTATATGTGCACACGTACACATCAGATATGAGCAGATCAGACGAGAAATCTCTAGCAATCATTGACGGGGGATTTCCGCCAATCGATATTGATAATATTTCGAGTAACAATTTAACTCCGATCGTCCGAGGCCATGACCCCTGATGTCGGTCGCACCAGTTTTTTAACACTGCGAGATATATGTAAATGTCGCGCGACGTCAAGACAACTCGCGAGGAACTCCTGATCAACGTGGTCGATGACACCGTGTTCGACGCTTCGGCTCCACCAAAATCGTAACAGACAAGAATAATTTGCAAAGGGTTATTGGTGCGAGCTTGCACATCGGCATCTTGCTGTTTGTCTCATATGTCAAACCCAGCGCAGCAGACGGCTAATAATAATGAAGTTACTAAGAGGATCGCCGAACGCGCAAGGACCTAGATGGCGTCCCGGCGGATCGGAGGGTCCGAAAAAAAAGAGAATCTTGCAAAAGCAAATGAAATCTCCTTTGACTATGGGTGCGTTCCTTTATTCACTCCGAGTACTATCAGTATTACGAATAGCGTTCCGATATAGAGAGCAGTGCACTACGAAAGTACAGCTTTGAATTCTATGACGTCATTGATTTTGACGTACTTTCTGTTGCGTTAGTGTCGGTTCACAATAAGTATTTAATCTTTAAGCCGTAAGAAATTGACTAATCATAGTCGAGTATTCTTTTCATATTCGATTATAATTGGTCAA